AACAGCGGGCACACATCTCCCTCTCCATGGGAACTTGTATAAGTGGCATTTTCTTTCCATCTTCCCTCACAGATGGATCATGTTCATCTCTGTTCTTTTCTCTCAATCTATCCTTTCCACAGCACTTTCACACTGACACAGAAAATGCTCATGCTCCTTTCACAGAGGGCATGCACCTCCATCTCTTCTAGCGCAGAAACTTTAGGTCCTTCACATTTCAATCTTCAGAGACAATCCTGGTTCGTCACTAATAGGGGAGACTGCATTGTTTTCTCTCTTGCCTTGCAGTCACATATTTCTCACTCTCCACACTGAGTACTTGCTTCCTTCTTGTCTACCTCATGAAAACCTGTTCTTATTTTTTGCTACCGTTCAACTGCAGAGGAACAAGTAATATGCATTTTATGATACCCATTTATTGTGTTTTGGCGTGAATTGTGATTAAACATGAGTTAACACACAATGACGAGATAGCACGGCTGATAACTCAATATAACAATACAATTGAAATCTTAAATGGTAAACTTTCCAATCTTGCAGTTAAGCAAAAAAAAATTCAAAAGATAAATCAATGATTTTTAATACTTTTAAAACTGATTTTCTATCCATATCTCCCCAATCTTCATACTTGTAAATAATTTTCCACATGAACAGAGCTCCAGCACAAGATATTCCAACCATTCTGGAGTGTGACTTGAGGTGTAACAAATGTTGGCTTGTTTTTTTTACCTTACAATCAACAAACAACATCATGGTAACACTGATGGCAAAAGATTCACTGCTATGGGCAGAAACAAAATGGGTTGTTGCATAAAATAGGAAGAGAGTTCAAAAATAGATTCATAGGAAGTGAAGTGGTTAAGTTGGGAGTGTGAGCCGATTGCTTTAGCCTTGTTATGTGTCAAAATCAATGTGATAAGACTTGGGAAGGGAAATAATATGTAGAACCACAAATTATTAGACAAAGAAGATTTGGGTTATTAATGCTTAATTCACTGTGCAATAAATGGCAGCACTTAGTAAAGCTAAGCAAAGCACAACTCATTTCTTCTACATCTCCCTTCTGATGGAATGTCCCAGACCTGAAGCAATGGGCATGATCTTCCCACCACTTCAGCAATTAATTTCTGGGTGGAAAGATCCATTTTCAACCTTCCTGACTTCACCCCAACTTAGAGCCTTAAGTTGTCAATTTCTAGCCACTTAAGGACCCTAACCCACCACCACTCTGATTACCTGGCTTCCTGGTGGATGTGCAAATTGGCCACCTTCCCAACTGGCAAAATGGGTGGCCTGCCAGGTGATTTGGGCAGTGGTCTCTATTTTTCCCAATCTGGGGGTGTCATTGGAAGGTGGGGAAGAGTTCAGGGAATAGCTACTGAAAACGATGCCTCTCTCCTTTCAACTGCCAGCACTCCCCCGCCCGGGCCCCTGCAATCCTCCACACTTGATTCCCCTGTGCCCGTGCACAGAACAAACCTTTTTAGCTGATCCCAGTCTTCCGGACTGTGGTTCAGCTGGCAGTCTTTGACACATTAATGCTACACACAGAGGCTGTTGACCTCTGATTGGCCGGCAGCTTCAGATGGGGCAGGACGTGATTGGCCAAGAAGCGTCTAGGTCATCACTGAGCTACTTGGTTGGCATTTGACCTGATGGGCTTTCTCACTGGTTGGTGGTGGGCTGGGAGTGGTTCTCCCCTTAAAAACACCTGATCCCACACTTTCCCTAAAAAATGGAAAATCCCAGAGAAAAGTCTCATATGTAGTCTTCTGCTTTTAAAGCTTTCAACCAATGGTCAAAATTATTTTACTTTCTTTACTTTCTTAAAATTCTATATAGATTTCCCAGGATACTTCCATATATTACAAATTTCTCCTTGTAATCCTCAGGAAGGAACTCGTATGCAATGAGAAAGTTTTGTTTCTGTCGTAATCTATAGAAGCCTCCTCAGAGAGTAAGACATAGACCTTATGAGTTCTGCTGGTGAACTTGCTTTGCATAAGCAGTGCCAGTGTTCCTTTGGTGACCTCATCAGCTTGGATACTTTTTCAAAAGAAACTTTAAAAAATTCCTCTATGGTCTTTTCATGAAATGTTGGGAAATGAAATGTAAACTGCACCCCGCTTGATCTCCAGTTAGAAATTTCCTCATGAGAATATTTCCCAGATTATGAACTGCTTATCAAGCCCTTGCTTTTAATTTAACTTCTACTGTGTTCAACACGTTGGCTCAGCGGTTAGCATTGCTGCCTCACAGTGTCAGGGACGCAGGTTTAATCCACCCTTGGGCAACCATCTGTGTGGAGTTTTCACGTTCTCCCCGTGTCTGTGTGGGTTTGTGCTGGGTGCTCCGGTTTTTTCCCACTGTTCAAAGATGTGCAAGTTAGGTGGATTGACCATGCTGAATTGCCCATAGTGTTCAGGGGTGTAGACAGGTTAGACAAGGGAATTGCAGGATTACAGGGGTGGGTTGGTCTTCAGAGGCCCAGTGTGGGCCCATTGGGTCGAGTAACCTGTTCCAACACGGTAGGGAATCTATGATCTGCCAATTCTAATAGCCTTGTCTTTGTTACTTTTTGCCAATCACTTGGAGATAAAATCCTTCATACCGGGATAAATCGTAGCAGCTGCCAAAGCCATTTTGGTTTAATAATACATAAGAAACCTTTTAAACTTCTCCAATTAACATTACCCTACTTCTAATTACATGTTGTCAGCATCAGATGTACTTATGCAAGCCCACAATATTATGTTCTGACCAAGATGGGAGAAACTCATTGTTGCTGTAGTTCCTGTACTCCTAGTTCTCATCATGAAGTAAAAAATATTTTTTACCCAGTTACCAATAGATATTTAGCCAATGAGCATGATCAAACCAGGCAGTTGGCATAGGATTACTAATATGCGTATGCTGATGGAATTAGAATGCCCATGTTCTTTGAATTGGTGACCTCGTCATGCCAAGATATGCTGACGATAGGTCTGGGACAGTGAAGATGGAAATATATTCACTTTTTCATCTGCTGCTGTGTTTTGTCCGGGTCTCACTACTGCAAACGGATTTGCTGAGCATGATTGACTTGCAGTTTGGTGTTCTCAGTTGGGGTGCTGTGTTCCACACTCACCTATTTGGCTTTGAGATAACAGCTGCAGCTTTTGTGATGCTCTTGTGGATTTCAATATCAAGAGACAGATTGCTGTGTTTGCCAAACCTAGATATGGGAAGCAGACAATAACTATCAGTGTCACATTGTAGATGGTGGGACACCGTGCAGGATACAGAGCTTTATCTCCTCCTTCAAACGCATCTTGATTTAACCCCTTTCCTCTCTCCCTACCTTTAATGATTTGCATTGCCCATAATGGGCTTTGCTTGTAAATATTTAATTGGCTGCATGGGTGATCACTGGTTGTAGTTAAAAAGAAAACAAACGCAAAAAGGGAGTCATGGTGATTTTCGTGGTGGGAATCGCTCAGTTGTGCGTGATAGCACTTACGAGCATAAAACAAAAAGCAAAGAAAGGAAACAGACTCAGCATTTCTGGGTATAAAAGAATAAATAAAGCAGTCTCAGAAGTTATTTGAAAAATCCTTTGTTTTGTTTTGGCTGCACTTCAGCCCAGCATTGCTGATTTTTGGGCATCTAGTGCAGAGGGGTATGGGCAGATTGGAGGATCTCCTCATGGGTCTGCTCTTGGGCCTGGCCAAGTGACTATAAACAGTTGCAGGCAGCAGTCCATGGAGGGGGCCATCTCTATTGATTGCCTGCCTTTCTTCCATGGTTATGCCTGTGCGCTTGGGTCATTGGAGAGGGAGAATGCGATGTCCAGCAATGCTCTTGATGCCTTTAGAGAGATGTGGGCACCACGGAAGATAAAGTGCTTTATTTTCCTCTCCAACTCCATTTTGATTTAGCCCCATCCCACTCTCCCTACCCTCCCCCTTCTCTTTTGATCATTCGCATTGCCCATTATGGGCTTTGCATGTAAATTTCTCATTGATTACACATGTGGTTACTGGTGATGGTTAATAGTTTAAAAAAAAAGCAAAACAAAAGTCAGTGATTTGGTGGTGGGAAAGCATTTGATTGTGTGTGATAACACTTCCAGATATATTGAGAAAAAACACAAAGCAGACTCAGCAGAGGCAGGCCGTGGTGTAATGGTCTTGTCACTGGACTATTAATTCAGAACCCCCACAGGATAATGTTCAGGGGATATGGGTTTCAATCCAACTAAGGCAGATGATGAAACTTCAATTCATAAAAAAATTGGAATAAAGCAGACTCAGGAATGGGTCTACAGAATGTCTCTCCCAGGCTGGGACTAGTAGTGGCTCTATTTTGGTATTCAACAATTGAGCTGTCCAGTTGGTCTTCCTGAGTTGTTAAGAAGTGTTTCTTGGCATGCAATGCCGGTGAGGTATTGCCCAGAGCAACTCTGAGGATTTGGTGCACATTTGTCTTGGATGCCTGATGCTAGAATTGGAAGTTTAGGCTGAAGAATCACAAAGTGTTTGGGGTGCAGAAATCTTCCTTGGCAGTGCCAATGCAAGCAGCACCACGGCTGACTGGAAGATGTGGCCATTGCTTCCTCTGTGATATCAAACAGACAATCTGGCAGCAGGAGTCATTGTTGTTGATTTCTAAATAATTTCCACATCACAACATCGATGAATAACTTCATCTTTAGAAAACTAATCTTGATAAAATCCAATCTTACAATACATTTAGTGAATTCTGCCAACAATATTCATATTTGATATCAGTTTTGTGCACATAATTTGCTGCATTATTCACAAAATATTCCAGCCCTTGATAATTTGTGCAGTTGTGTGTCAATTTCTTACTTTGTTCAGAGTGGATGAGTGTGTAGCATTCACTTAGCCTGAATTTAGGTGATTTTAGTTTTACATTGACATTGATATTGTTACTGGTTAGTTTTGTTACTTCTTGGCAAACATGGTGTTAATACATTGATTTTTGTTTTGTCAATTCAGGTGTGCACATGAGCTTTACTTTTCCAGATTCAGGTATGTACTGAAATATTCAACACTTTTTAACAAAGAAGTTTGAATTTTCCGATATGAGAATCTAACCATCTTCCCTTGACATTGAATGGCATTACCATTGCTGAATCCATCACTATCAACATGCTGGAGGTTACCATTGACCAGATATTAAACTGGACTGGTTGCAAAAGCAGGTCTGATGCTTGAAATTCAGCAGAGAGTAACTCCTGACTCATCAAAGCCTATCAACCATTTGCAAGGTGCAAGTCAGGAGTGTGATGGAATACTCATTACTTGGATGAATGCAGCTCCAACAATGTTCAAGGAACTCAACACTACCCAGGACAAAGCTTGATTGGCACCACATCTAAATTCTTCAACATTCACTGTCTCCGGCACCAGTGCACAGTGGCAGCAGTGTGTGTGCCATCTATAAGAAGCACTGCAACAATTGACCAAAGTTCCGTAGCCAGCACTAGATGGAGTGCCTATCAGTCAGGCTGCTTTGTCCTGGATGGTATTGAGTTTCAGGTGCTGAGTCTTGAGTGATGTGGTCCACATTAAAACTATTACCCTCCACCCCTGCTACAGCCTTCATCACTGCTACCTTCAGGCCAAGGGAAATATTTATAGTTTTTACAGAAGTGATTACACCATTTCATTCAACCTCTCTTATGGTATTATAGTCTCTGTAAAAAGCCTGGTAACTTTTAAAAAAAAATGTGGATTACCAGTTAATAATGGGAAAAAATGCAACATGATTTTACATTTAAATGAATAGTTTTACTGTAACGTTCAAGAACAAGAATAAGCGTATTAATTTGACATTATATCTGGGTAGCATTTATACTTAAAACCTAAATTCTGAACAGTATATTCCATGTTCTACTTTTAAATACAACCATAAGCTCCTTTTCTTACATTACAGGTTCCTCATTGCTTTATTGATTCTCTGAAACTGAACTAAAGAAATGTATGCTCTCTCCCTGTTGGTCAGCCTCTTTTCTGTAGCTCTCTATGTTTCTCTGTCTGTGTGTGTCTCTCATGGCTGTCTTTTCTATGACTCTCTTGTCACTTTCGCTATTAATAGAAGTGAGTAATGGAGTACTGAAAGATTCAATAGATATTTATTACACCTTCTGTACCTACATACAATGAGGAAATGTGGGCCATCAGCAACAGCCAAATTGTATTCCAAAACAATCTGCATTTTCATGGCTAGGCATGTCGCCCCCACCGGCAATCATTAGCATCAAGCCAGGAGATCAACCCAGGTCAGTGAAGAGTGGAGGAAGGCACACCTAAACATGACATATCAAACCTGGTAAAACTATAAAACAGGACTACTTGTGTGACAAACAGCATAACCAGCAAATGATGGACAGAATCAAGTGATTACACATCCAAGGAATCAGATCTAAGCTCAGCAGTCCTGCCAAATCCAGTCATGAATGGTGGTGGACAATTAAACAACTCATTGGAGGAGGTTCCACAAACATCCTCATCCTAAATGATGGGGGAGCCCAGTACATCAGTACAAAAGATAAGACTGAAGGATTCACAGCAATCTTTAGCCAGAAGTACTGAGTGGATGATCCATCTCAGCCTCCACCAGCGGTGCTCAGGCATTGCAGATACCAGTCTTCAGCCGGTTTGATTCACTGCATGTGATATCAAAAAAACAGTTGTAGGCGCCAGATACTACAAAGGCTATGGGCCCTGACAACATCCCGGAAACTTATGCTCCAGAACTTGCTGCTCCCCAAACCAAGTTGTTCCAGTACAGTTACGACACTGGCATCTACCCGACAATGTGGAAAATTGCCCCAGTATATCCTGTATACAAAAAGCAGGACAAATCCAACCCAGCCAATTACTGCCCCATCAGTTTATTTTCAATCATCAGTAAAGTGATGGAAGGCGTCATTCAAGCAGCACCTGCTCAGCAACACCCTGCTCACTGACACCTCATTTGCGTTCCACCAGGGCCTCTCAGCTCCTGACCTCATTACAGCCTTGGTCCAAAAAGAGCTGAATTCAAGAGGGGAGGTGAGAGTGATGGACCTTGACATCAAGGCTGCATTTGACAGAGTGTGGCATCAAGGAGCCCTCATGAAACTGGAATCAATATACACTGGGGCAAACTCTCCACTGGTTGGTGTCATACCTGACACACAGGAAGATAATTCTGGTGGTCAATCATCTCAGCTCCAGGACACTTCTGCAGGAGTTCCTCATGGTAGTATCCTAGGCCCAACCCTCTTCAGCTGTTTCATCAATGACCTTAATTATAACCATAAGGTCAGAAGTAGGGATGTTTGCTGACTATTGTATAGTATCGGGCACAGTTCACGATTCCTCAGATACTGAAGCAGACCATGTTCAAATGCAACAAGAGCTGGACAATATCTAGGCTTGGACTGACAAGTGGCAAGTAAAATTCAGACTAAACATATGTCAGGCAATGACCATTTCCAACAGGAGAGAGTCTAAGCATCCTCCCTTGATGTTCAATGGTGTTACCATCACTGAATCCCCCACTATCAACATCATAGGGGTTACAACTGACCAGAACTGAACTGGACTAGCCTTATAAGTACTGTGGCAAGAAGTGCAGGCCAGGGATGAGTAAGTTACCTCCTGACTCCCCAAAGCCTGTCCACCGTCTACAAGGAACAGGTCAGGAGTGTGATGGAATTCTCCCCACTTGCCTGGATGGGGGCAGTTCTAACAACACTCAAGAAGTTTGACACTATCCAGGACAAAGCAGCCTGCTTGATGGCACCAAATCCACAAACATTCACTCCTTCTACCCCATTGCTCAGTAGCAGCACTATTTGCAAGATGTCCTGCAAAAATTCACCAAGGCTCCTAACACAGCACCTTAGAAACCCACAACTAGAAGGACAGGGTAGCAGATGGTTCCCTACTTTCATTCCTCATTCATATTTTCTCAAGGGTAACAAAGGATGGATAATCACTGCTGCCTAGGCAGTGATGCTCACATGCCATGAATGAATAAAAATAAATATTGTCCAGTTCTGCTCAAAGCTTCTCCTGAATGTGCATGTTACACTTCCTTGGAGGTGTAATGGTCTTGCATCATCCTTCAGGTAAAATATTGAATCACTTTCAAATGTGCTGATCACATTGCCCATCCAGTTCTCTGTCTCTCTATCTCACGCTTGCTCTTTATCCTATTTTGTCTGTTTATCTCCCTGTATCTCTCTGTCCATCTTTCTGTTCCATCTGTCTGCCTGGCTCTATCTGTCAGTCTCTGTCTTTCTACCTCCATGTCTTTTTATCTCCTAGTTTCTCTCTCTCTCTATCTGTTCATCTCTCTTTCTGTCTGCCAACTTGATTGATCTGTTTCCCTGTCCATGTGTCTGTTCCTCTCTCTTTCTTTCTCTGTCTGTCTCTCTCTCTCACTCAACCTTTGTCTCCCTCTCTCTGTCTATCTATCCCTCTTTCCTTGTCCGTCTCTGTCTTGTTTGTCTCTTTCTCTCTCTCTTTGTGACTCTGTCTCTGTCTGTCCATCTACAAGTTCTTGTAAACACCCCTCCTTTTCTGAGTCTAAACATTCAGTCTCAGACATCAATGGCACACAAGTTAGATACAGTCCACTTAATTTCCCACACCTTTAATGTGGGAAATATATCGATCATGCTCTATCAGCCTGTGCTTAAGAGCCTCAGAAAATTATATCATCATTAGATGTGATTCTGATATTGGAAATCATTTATTAACTATTCCAGACTGTGCTAAGAGTTACACTGGAAATTGATTTAAAATCATCTGCCCGGCTCACATTGTGATGCTATTGCGTGTACTAAAAGCTATGTATATAAATACACATGACCCTGTTATATGTAGCTGAAAGGAATTTGTACGTACATTGAGACTTTTTCAGTTTAAAAAAAAGAAGTCACAGAAACAGGCCAATCTCTGCTGTATCCTGATGGCAACACCCTGACCAATCAAAATTTACCTGCCTGCTGTGAGAATTAAGATTGATAGTCAACTGCTCTTGCTGCCTGGCCATGCCAATGATGGCCCAACCGCTCAGCAACTTCATCTCAAGCTTTATAAACTGATGCCCCCTTTCTTCTAGTGTGTTTTATTGCAGCCAGCTTCTGATGAGTGCAAAATGAAAAGCTTTGCTGTCTTGTTTCCCTTTAGTAGAGTTTAAGTTCTAGCAAACAATTATTTATGACACTACTGAGCAATAGTACATACTCACAATGACACTGGTTGCTTAGAAATCCCATGAACCAGGGTCTGTCTTAAGTGGTCAATCTAGCAGATCTCCTGGCATGATTTTGGAGCAACTGACCAAACTGCTGTCAGTGGCTGCTGTGGCAAGTTATTTATGATGTCCTTTTTTTAACCTCTTCTTTTTCTATTACTGTGTCATCTAAGATAATACCTGGTTTTGGCCCGTTTAATTGGTTTTCAATCACATCCCTATTCTGTTCAAATCCATCAGTGGACAGATATGCTGTGGGCCTCTCTTCAAGGTTATGCTTCTTGAAAATGCAGGCAGCTGCCTGGGATGTTGTCTTATCCTTACAGTCATAGGCGCAAGGGGGTACATTTCTCCAACGCTGCACTTTTAACTTTGTAGACGATAAATATGTGTATTTTCCCATCCTGCCTTTCTGCTGATATACTCAGGATGCAGTTTGTCGGTCAGGGTACCACTTTATTCTTCATTACACTTCCCTCCTGTTGGCCTTTAGATCATTGCTTCAACTTCCTATGTTTACACTTAACAACCTAAGTCATGCAAAAGACATATGACAATAGCTACCTGTGGAAAAACTAATCCATAAGATATGATTTGTATCCCAGAGTGGACATCAATATTACTTCCCCAGTCTCATAATGTATCCCGCCAAGACTACTGTTTAATGGTGTTTATTTCCTGCAGGATCTCATGATTCGCCAGCTCCAACTGGTTATTTTCTGCGATTTTTCCATCTCTTCCCGCAGCTCAACTAGCTGTTACGGTCATCATGGAA